AGTATAACTAGCTGATTGGTTGAATTAAATGTGGCGCGCTGCAGTCGAAATTCTGTAAACGAAGCTTAAGCCCTTACTAGCTCCATCTCTCTCGCACACGTCTGCGCAATTGCCTTTTATATAGGCAAAATGACAGTTGGGCGAGTTCAGTAGTTTATAAGGTCTATGGTTTGAATATACATTTGATCAGGCACTAATGTCTCTGTGAGACTGTCAAAATAATATTTCAGTAAAACGTTTGGGAAGGATATTAGGCAAATCCTCTGCGATTGCAATTTGCATTTTATTTAATGTTGAGTTTATTTTTAAAATAAAATTAGTGAATCTTTCTACAGTTCGCATATTTAAGATCATTATCAATTTCAATTTCTTGTTTTCGCTTTTTTACACTGCGCATTCTCACGGCATCATTCAACGATATATCTGCATTTCGCGCTCGAATTGTTAATCATACGATATTCTTGATTTACTCGTTTATGACTATCCCGATTCTTAACGGATTGGCAACTAACACTCGCATACGATTCCATTTTTTAAAATAGGTACACTGAAATAATTAAAATGAGACAATAATAAAAAGTTTTTCCAACTTGCACGCCTATAACACGAAAGGAAATGCTTAAGTTGGAAACTGGCAAAACGGGATATAAACAACCTATGTACAGAATACGTGTAAAAAAATATTTTATCAAGTTAAGAAGTATTGGACTATTGTGACGTCAGGCACACAGTAGGTATTTTGTAAAGTGTCTATTAACCAAATCTTATTAAAATGTGTAATATCGTAAAAGTGATATGAAGTGATAAACAATGATGAATTTATAAAAAGATCTTATATTAGTGTTAATTTAACGGTAACTTAATAAAGTTTATAAAATTAAGCCCTAGCTTATTTATTTATTTACCTAGTTTACAAAAATTTGGTTTTACCTTAATGTTAAGAATTGGTCATCGAATGATTAGACTTTTTCGCATGCGTTCTTGTTGTAGTTTTAATCAAAGAAATTAATATATAGAACTTTCAACGTCAAGTCCTAAGACCTTCTTAGAACTAGGTTAGAATTTTTGTAAACCGAGATATTGAAAACTGTTTGTTTTAGGGCAAAGACTTTTTTTATAAACTCATCATAAAATAGGGTGTCCCATAATTCTATTGCCAAACTTCTAGGAGGTGTTTGTTGGCCAAAATTAACACAAAAATTTTGAATGAACGAATGAACTAAATGTCAATTATGATTCCTTACAACCTTGCAAAGATATAGCAGCTTCAATACGGTATACTGAGAATCTTTTTTTTTTTCATCTTCCAAATAAAGTTATCAGTACCGAATTTCAACTATGTTTTTGGCCGTTGGGTTGCGTGGCTAGTTTTTGATAAAGTTTTTTTTCTCTAGAAGGTAGGCATTCGAATTAAAAGACGCCCTGTATAAAATATGTATCTTCTACTACTATGGTAAGTAGCTATAACACACCGATTTGCCTTTGTAAATAATTCTGTTTTTTTTTTCTTTTACTAGAAAGCATGGGTATCTCTGTCTGACTAAAATCTAAACTTTCCCCCCGGCCGTTCTGCAAAAATTAACAAGGCCGCCCCTAAATATTTCGGAGGTATGTAAAATTCTTATTTTTAATTCTACCTCATGAAGGCTTCACTGACTTAACTCAGCTTTTTGCACTCATTTCTAATCATACTTCGCACCTACATCATACTAACCTCTTTTCGTCATCAAAGCATTACATTTTTTAATAAAATCAAACACGAAGTTACTGTTGTGAAAATATACGTATCAATTTAATTTATGTTCCAAATAAAATTACATACAGATAATTGTATAAGTCATAGTACATATTACTCATTGGAGTATTTAGAATCTTCTTGTAATACATTCAATCTTCCTTTCGTACGACGTCCATATTTTCAGTATTCATTTCTTTCATCGTCTCCAGTAATACTGTATCTTCCTTTTCCTCCACAAAAGTAGAGGTTATATACGGAAAGATGGGTTCATATATTCTAATAACATTAACTGTCACCCCTAAAACAAAAAACGATGATTCAAAAAAATGTCGTAATGGCTCCTACATGCTGCGGTGTGTATGGCCAGCTTTATCTTAAAATCAAGTTACAATCTGGTATACAGGGTGATTAAGATCTTATCCAAAAAAATTCTGGAAAAAGGGCAGTTCGAAAATGATTTAAAAATACACTTCTGCACGGCACTGGAAACTGGTCCACTGTAAAACCTGACCTTGCACAATGCAACCGGCATGGCAGTCTGATAAAAACGGACAAAAGAAGCAAGGAAAGAAATAGATAGAATTTTATAGCACTTATTTTATATCGGCAAATTCAACTGATTTTGCCTTTATTGTTATTATAAATAAAATTAATTTGTGTTTTTAAATAATAAAATCATTTGACATACCCGATGTTACAACAATTGTTCAAAATTTCATTTAGGTCCGTCTTACTCAGTTTCCACGAACTAACACAAATGCTGTCTTGTTTCACCATAACACAAACGCTTCGCCATAATACAAATGTTGTCTTGCTTCACCATAAATTAAAACGATATCCATCAACTCCGAGTTGCTATACACGCCAACCATTTTTGACACTAACTACTAAAAAACTATTGTAAACACTATGGCAACGACGATTGCAAAATCGGATTTCAGTATTCTCAGTCGCTGAGGCCACTAGCTCTCCACGCGTATTGCGAATGACACTAAAGACTATACAGTTGTACAGCTAGATAGTGGTTGAATGTACTATAACTTCAATAATTATTTTCTCGGAAACTATAAGGATTTTACAAATTTTTTTTTTACGATATTGTCTCCATTTCTCATGCCGCATCTATTCCCAAATTTTTTTGGAAAAGTTGTGAATCACCCTGTATATATATATTTTTATTATTATTTGATTTACAAACTTCCTATTAGACACTAATATGTCTATTTGCATATCTAGTCTAATAATATAAAAATTTTTTATTTAAAAATAGAAAATACACTAATTTAAAAAATTTCAACTATTTTATAGGTAGTATCTACATTAACAATATTATTCATGGCTAAGTTTGATAAAATTCCGTGTCTAACAACCAAGGAAATAACAAAACTGATATTACACCATATTATTATGGGTTATTATTTTAGTAGTCGATATANTCCAATGATGCCACTCTGGTATGTGTTGCCATATAGTTGTAAGTTGAAAGCGATGTTTATATTTATATATTATGTAGGAAAAAGGGAGAAGGGACAGGCAGTCTGTAGAATGATTGTAAAGAGAGCAGACGTTTAATATTCAATAAATATTGTTTTACAGTTTTATTTATACGTTCGTTTGTTAATCAACCCCAAGACGTTATATAATGTTAATTTTTCCGATACTTCTTAAGTTTTCGTATTATAACTACACGCTAGGGCAACCAGTGGCGTATAAGTACAGACCCCAAAATACCTACTTTATCATCAGGTAACTCCAGTCTGTTCAGTTTCGTACAGTAAGTTTCCCTATATTTTGCGCCTAACCTACAGCTTCTCTTTTCAAAACAGAAAAAAATGTTAAATATAAAAGTTGTATATATTTTTTTTATAACAATTTTGTATAATATCAAACAAATGAACATAGCAAAGGTGTCAAAATAAACCATATTTTGCCTTTTTTAACAGAAAACCATGTGCACTTATATGGATATAATACTACCTATGGTATGACAGTGATATATAGTGTTTTGGGAAAAGGTACCATAAATTCAGGGGCTGGTAGAAAGTAAACTAACACGATTTTTTCCTATGGGCATGGTTGTCTTTTGTTTTTGAGATGCATGGTGTCGAATATGATTCTTTGAAATCAAATTTTAGCTATACTCAAAAAAATAATTTAATTAATGCATTAAAATTTAGTACCGACAAATTTTTTAAAGTTCTAAATGTATGTTGTTCCTTTCTGCCAGAGGTCGTTAGTTACAGTCTTCCCTGTGACATTTGACGATATACTTTTTTTGAGGTTAGGTTTTTTACAGAATGTGTCGTATATTCTGATGTAAAATTTCAGTTTGCATAAAAAAGTATTGTCGTTAAAACCTCTGAAAACACACAGTTTTTGAAAAAATTCAGTTGGCTGTCCACCACCATTTATTCTTTAATATAAATACGTGGTGTCCAGAAACGCAAGGGTCCTTTTACAAGGGTAGCTTCCTTGAATCAAAATAAACCGATTTCGATTAAGTAACCTTAATACAATTTCGTTTCCTTAAAAAGTTATCGACCTTCAAAACAGTTTTTTAAATTCATTTTAATTAGGTAATAGTAGTAACAACTTTTTAAGGAAGCACAATTGTACTAAGGTAATTGGTTTATTTTCATCTAAAAGAAGTTGCCCTTGAGATACGGCCCACTCGTTTCTGGATGGTACATTAAAAAGTACCTACTAGGACAATCAAAACGGTAACTTTCGGAAATTTTAACAAGAATATATTTTTTGTGTAAAATGAAATTTGAAATGGTTACAAACTAATAACACTGACGTATTAGCACTCTCCCAGAAACCTAACTCCAAAATTTGGTTTTCAAAGATCATCTTTGATGCTCTGTATCTAAAAAACAAATAACCTTGGTCTATAAGAAAAACTGTTTTTATTTTTTTGATCTGTCAACTACTGAATTTTTGGTATTTTTCTACCAAAACATCCTGTATAATGAGTCTATCTTTTATAGTAGTAGTTATGGCACAATTATTTGGCCATATTTCCCTTACTCTTAGTGATAGACCTATCAAATCTTTATTACTGTAATCATAATAATAATAAAAAAAGAAACGAATATAGATTTATTTAATGTTTATTTGTTTGATCTGATACAAAATCCTGGGTCTTCATGAGCATTGACACAATTTTTATATTTAAAAATTACAGCAGTATCTCCCTAATTATAACTTTGCAACTGAATGAGAGTAAAATGTATTTTGATAAGCTTTGATATTGTTTCAGGTATATCACCATTGCCTTTATGGTACAAGGTACGATTTTCTATGTGCCAACTATACTGCCTTTGACCAAAAGACATTCATCTGCCACTTCGCTTCTGAAGTTGACTGTGCCAATTCTAAGAAATTTTGGCATAGGTGAGACTCGATTTCATTTTTTATACTAGATATAATTTATTAAACAGTAGAATGAATTTGTTGCTATTTTTTGAAACGATCGTTTTTCATTTTAATTGTTTGCTATTTTCCAAATTGACCTGATATAGTTTTTTCACTTACTCTGACTCTTATAAATTTACTTATATATAGGAATGACGCCCTGTATAAAGCAGTAACCACGACCACTGTCAAACCGTTTGTGATTTACACCACGGCTCCCCCTCTTCCAGCAATACCAGTCGTACCCGTTCAGCCTGCCCCTCTACCCCCCACAGGTCCGGGTTCGAGGAGACCTGTTGGAGGAAGAAGAAGACCTTTTAGAAGAAGAAGACCTCAGTATGACTACTACGATGACGAATATTACGATGACTATGAGGAGAGACCGAGGTCGAACAGAGGGAGAAAAAGGCCTAGACCACGACCTAGGCCTGTCTATGATGACGACTATGAAGAAGACTACGAGGACGATAGGTACCAGAGGAGGGGTGGGGGGAGTAGAAGGGAAGAAGGGAGGAGGCCTTATGATAGAAGATCAGGGAATAGAAGAAGGAATAAAGACAGAGTTAAGGAGGAATATGAAGATGAAGAAACTGATGGCAGACTTGAAGATGAAGATTTTGGCTTGGGTAAAAATTCACTCAGCTCCCTAATGAATCAGACTATCTGTAATTTTATTAGGAAAAACTATACAATTTTTTAATTTTTAGTCAATGTTTCGACATTATTTGACTATACAGGGTGTTTCTTGTCTATTGAGAAAAACTTTAATGAGACATTTCTTGCCAAAAAGTAAGGAAGGTCTTCTGTAGAAACTTATTTCCAAAAACATTTGCTATTGGAGCTATCTATACCCCCTTAAAGGGGTAACTTAAAAATCAGACTATTTTATTTCTCACAGAATGCAATTGGGGATGTTACTTTATCCTATCAAAGGCTTTTCTACACCGATATTTTTAATCATCTGTGACCCTCGAAAGGGTTGAATATTGCCCTCCAAAAGGGTGTAATTTCGACAGCAGACATTTTTGAAAACAAGTTTATATAGAGGACTCCCTTATTTTTTGACAAGAAATCACTTCTTAAAGTTAATCACAATATTAAAGAAACATTGCATTCTGAAGATGATGTGAAATAATACCGAAACGTTGGCCAAGAATTAAAAAACTGTGTTGTAAGTAAATTTTTATGATTCTCACCCCTGTTAAATGCCCTTGGTATTGACACACGCTTCATTGCAGGTACTAGAAGGAAACCAACTGACAGGAAAAGGCCAGAGGATGGTGAAGAAGAAAGATATTCTGTAAACAGAAAGCGTCGTCCATTCGCTGAAAGACCTGAAGAATATGACAAACCAGCTCCCAGAAAAGGTCAGAGAAGGCCCCCTAAAGATGACTATGAAGACGACCTAGAGGAGGAAGACGCTAGAAGTTATGAAAGGCCTAGAAAAACTACTGATCGAAGAAGTAAACCTAGGGATGATACCAGAGCAATCATAAAACCTGTCAGTGGGACTATCTATGACCGTCCTCGCGTGGCGCCTAGAATCAAACTGCCAGTGCCTAAAAATGAAGCCGACAAGTACGCATATAAGCCTGTGGAAACACAAGCTACGGCAATTTCTCAGGAACATGAAGAAGATTATTATGATGATTACGAAGAACCTGTACCGGCCCAAAAAAATTCTAAAAAGCAGCAGTCCAGAGACAGAGATGAAGATACTAGGAAGCAAACGTCGTCTTTATCAAGACCACGAAGGCCTGATCCGTATGACATTGAAGACAGACCTGTAACAAAAGTAAACAGAGACAGAACTAAAAGACCCGTTTCAAAAGACTACTATGATGATTACGAAGAAGAGGAAGAAGAAAAAGAAATTCACAGACCGTCCGCAATGCGAAACAGTGAGAAAAGAACTAAACTTTTATCTGCTACAAGTACCACCACATCAACTACCGCAGCTCCCTTGGAGAAAGTTGAGCAACCAGTTGTGCGCTTAGTTAAAAGGCCTTTTTTACCCAGTAGAGGCGGAAACCCATTTGCAGCTAGAGGCCTGCAACCAGTCGGAAACAAAGCTATGGCAAAAATACCTGAGAAAGTTCTTGGAGAAGATATTCAGCAGGATAATATCAGAAAAGAAGAGGAACCTTACGATACAGAACCAGAGACATTCAAACCTTCGGTGGCTATTAATAGTGACGATTTCCGTCAACGAACTACAGAGTTACGTAAACCTTATCAGTCACAGAATTTTGCTGGCCCTAGAACTACGCAAAAACCGAAGTTGCCTGAGCGCAACCCTTTGGATATAAATGAAGAAGACTATGATGTCACCCTTAACGATGCTCTTAACCCAACACTGCCAAATATCCCTATAAGGGGGTCCCCAGCTGGGTTTAGTACTGGGGGTGATTATTCGTATGTCGAAGTGCAACGACCTAGGTATAGTTTAGATCCCGCAGCGAGTCCGACTAGTTCCGAGTATAATTATCAGACAAAGCCTTTGAGGCAGACGTTTCAGCCACAACGCGAGCAATTCACCCACACAAACGTCGACTACACAGGGCAGTACAGCAACTACAGACCTCGACAGGTGCAACAGCAGACAGAGGTGTACTACTCAAGATATTAAAATACTCAAAGCCATATAGGTTACGATTAGATGTAATTTGTTAGGAATATTTAATTTTGCTATTTATAGTCGTGATGGTTGTGTAAATTGTTATTGAAATTAATAAAAAAAAATTAAAACTTCTAGGTTTTATTTTAATTCTTTTGTATTATAACTAGCTCGCTAATTATTTATTTAAATTTAGTTTTGTCTATATACCATCGCTACTGCTTTATGTGTTTACACTATCATTTTTTTTATAGCTATAGATATATTAGTACAGAACTAATAAATAATTTATGCAAAATGCCAAATAAATTTTAACATAATTAATTCAGTTGGGTTTTCTATAGTGGGTGCTTACAAACTTGGAGTGAATAAAACGGGGTATGTAAACTCGATTGCAGAAATAATATTTACAGATGCAATAATTTTCGTTTTTTAATACGTACCGTCTTGCCGCCTGATCTGATGGAAACTTTTTTGGAACTGCTGATTCTATCAAACACTCCGTCATTGTTTAAAAGTGTTGGTGCATGGTTAGTTGGAAAAGATGTGCAGCTATGTCGCGTTTTTAATCATCATTAATTCATTGTTACTACAGGGTGTAAGAAGTTTGACTGCCATTACTTCAGCATGAGATAGAGTAATCATAAATGAACAAAAAGGTTGTATCTTACAGGGGCGTAAGGTTAACAATTTTCAAAATTCAGCGAGTATTAATATTGGGTAGTTTCATCACAAAGTGACAACAACGCTTAACCTAACGCTACACAGCTGGTACATATCACGTGTGCACGCGGCAGATTTGTCCTACGGAAAAAATGTAAACAACTATTATTGTGAAACATTTAGTAAATTGTATTCATTTTGTAGTATGAAGATCGTGTTGTGCTTAAATTTTAGCTCGAATTTTAGTAATTATGAATCTCTTAAAACAGGAACTTAACTTTTAATCAAATTTGAAAAATATGTAATTAAAGTACCATAAGATTCACGTTATTCAAATAATCATACATAATAAAAATAATTTAGGGACTTACCAAAAAGCAAAATTCAGTAATTTTTAAACGAACAAGTACAAAACAAACTACAACATATCCTCACCACCATTTTCGATGCACGCACGACACCTTCGAATCCAATTTTCGCGCATTCGCTGGAAAACAATGTAAGAAAAGAAAATAGTGGTACGTAAAAAACACTTAGACAGAGTCCAATTCCAGATACCAACTGAATTGCGTATTGCTGGACAGCTTAGTACCTCGTTGTTATCCGCCGCGCCGTTGTCACATTGCTCGATATGAATTTTAAGGAATTTTAAATTTATTACAGAATTAGAATTAAGCATAAAGAAGTTCAAAAAAATGATAAACATTGTATTTTATGGTGTTCTATGTACGCAATTATGTCAATATTCCTTAATTAATTCATCGTATATCAAATTGGAGATTTTGATAACTTTTTTCTCGGAAATAGTTGAGTTTAGAACTCGTGTCATAAGATTTTTTGTTTATTTTAATGTATTCTAATGTCTGTTAAAATTAAGGCATCAAACTTCTAACACCTTATATACTGATAGGCAATTTCAGTTGCAAACAGTTAAAATAAGAATCTATAATAAATTACTTCAGTTAAAAGTACTGATAATTTTGACAGAAAAGGACACATTTTTAAATAATAAAAATTAAATAGAACTGAAAATTATCTAAAACTAAACTGGTAATTTGTCTGTTTATTACAAAAACTGGAGAAAGAAGCCGATGACATGCTATTTAAGGTTACAAATATTCACCTCTTTTTATGTAGTACGTAACTCAGGGACGATTCCAGAAGTTCTCAATAAGTTTTAACAATATCGATTAATATTAATTTAAAGTTCTGTTCTGCGGTTTCAACTGTTTTGATTATTATAAATGCTTATTATTAATACATTCTACCTACTATTAAAAAAACCTTCCAAGTTTGTAAACATCTCGTAGTTCGCATTTCTTTGGTATGTTAAGACAGAACAAAACATTATATAAAAAATGTTACATACTAATCTTAAAACTAATTACTATTAGCTGAAATCTTTAAGATCGTTTTAGCCTCTGCTTCATAGCTTATCATTTTTATTTATTGTCATTAAACATCTTAATGCAACTAACAAAGTAGCTGGCAGCTTCTAGAGGAACATTTCTGAAAATTTAAATGGTTTTAATGTTTTTTGTATGAATATAAATAACAGAAAAATAAAATTTTCTACGATTGTAGGTCTACCACCATTGCCTTTTCGGAACAAGATACGATTTTTTGTGTGCCAACTACACCGCCTTCGATCAAACACTATTTAACTGTAACTTTGTCTCCAATGTGGATTGTGAGAATTCAAAGAAATATTGGCACAGGTAAGAAAATAATAATAAAATGTGCAGGCATACAGACGATTCTTCTTTCTGTAGGAACGACGAACTCTACATAGAAAAAAGCACCACTACCGTTGCTCCAGCGATCAACTACAATTTTTACACACCAGCTCCACAAGGCTCACCTTTAACTCCATCCCCAATTGGCGGTCTGCCTCAGGAAGTGCCTACGTCCCGGAGACAAGCATCGCTTCGTCCTCGTGCCACACGTCCACCCGCTCGGCCTGTGTATGACTACTACGATGAATACGAGGAAGTTCCAAGGCCCAAAAGTCGAAAGAGGCAACGGCCTAGGCCTCGCCCTGTGTACTATGACGATTATGAAGAGTACGATGATTTGAGGATTGCTAGAAGAGGGGGAGGAAGAAGACGGCCGTACAGTAGGAGAGAGAGACCTATGAGAAGAAACAATGAGAGAAGAAAATTGGATTACGAAGATGATTACGTCTATGAAGATGATGATTTAGTCTTGGGTGAGATATTTTAGATAATCATGTGGTATAATATTATACATATATTACTCTACCTTTTTTAGGTAAGAAACAGAAAGCAAAGCGAAGAAAACTTCTTGATGACTATGAATATGAAGACGATAGACGATACGAAAAAAGACGTCCCCAAAATAGGAGGGACAATAAATCACCTAGAAAAAAATTGCCTATTGATGATTATGACTACGAGGAGGACGAGAGGATTGATAGAAGAAAATTAAATCAAGGGGACAGAGACAGGCATCCTTTAAATGATGAGAACAAGAAAACTCCTAGGTTGGGTAAAAGAAGGCCCCCAAGTCAAGAGTACGAAGACGATTTACAGCAAGCTGATGACCCTCAGTCCGATAGACCTAGAAGAATTAACAAAGAAAAAAGTTATGTAAAACCACCAGAAGATGGTAGACCGATTATTAAACCGGTTAGTGGTACTATATACGACCGTCCAAGGGTAGCACCAAGAATCAATTTACCAGTACCAAAGAATGCCGCTGATAAATTTGCATATAAACCTATAGGAACTCCTACCACACCTGTTGCTAAAATAGCAGAAGAAGAGTATGATGATTATGAAGAAACTGCTTCTCAAGAAGCAGCAAGTGATAAGAAACCCGCTAGTACTAGGCTAAGTACTAGCAAGGTTAAGGAAGAAGATCACAGCCAATCAAAGTCAAAACTTGACAGTACTCCAGCGAATGACAAAAAGACAGCGCAGGATCCTGAATATGATTACGAAGATGAAACATCCAAAATAGAAAATCCCACAAACAAAAATGAGAAATCTACTGTTGCAACGACAGAATCAGCAATTGCCCATTCGTCAATGCCCGTAATCAGAAAGTTCAAGAGGCCTTTTTTACCCAGTCGAGGGGGTAATCCTTATTCAGCTCGTAATCTGCAAGCTGTGGGTGTTAAAGCCAAGGATGATACACAAGAGATAGACTTGGGAGAGAGTTCAGTTATGAAATCACTTGCAAATCCTGATGAAACCACCCCCGACAGCGACAACAACAAACAGGTTTCTCAGGAAGTAAAAAGTCCACTGGTTACAAAAGTCACCATTACAACGGCAGAGGAATCTACCCTAAGAAGTGCCGTTCAGGAGATTGCTAAAGAACCCAAATCAGGAGTAATACGAATCAAAGTCCCAATTAGAGTCAAGCCTTATCTAGATCAAGAAGATTCGAGGGCTCTATATGGAAATAAATACAGTGTTTCAGAATCTACTACAACTACGGAGCAACCTAAACTTGCAAAGGAAGACATTCTGAACGGCAACTACGACGTGACTCTGAACGAAGCGATCAGTCCAATTATTCCCAATCTGCCAGTACGAAGTTTCGGCGGTTATAATCCCGTCACAGACTACTCTTACAAGAGGTTTCAGAGACCCACAAAGTATGTTATTTTAGATCCGGTAGTAAGTGCTGGTAATACGTATTATGTAAGGTGAAGCAGAGACGATTTGGTTGTATAAAAAAGTAATTTTAAAATGTGTTTAAGTGGTGAGCACCTCAAGATCCTATTTTTTATTCAGAATCTAAAAGGGAAATGTGCCCAGAGTTCTTTGGGGCTAAAAACGTAGATATTTATTGTCAGTAACTATTATTTAAATAATATTTTAAATTGTTTTAAACTAAATATGTAAACAACATATCCTATTTAAAGAATGGACATATTGCAATTACATTGTAGACGAGGTTTATTAAAAGTACCATTTTCAAAATTATTCATGTCTAAATCACATTAGACCTCCAACTTGGCATGTTTTTAAAATCTAGAAGAGAAGAAAGTAAATTATAAATGTATAGCTTTACAAAAAAAGAAGATATTGAATGCTGTAATTTTTTATGTAATGTAAATTGTCCTAATAGGGAATGAGCAATGTTCAATATCACATTAGGAGTATTTGACGAAATATTAATTTTCTCTGCTTCTAAAAAAAAATAAAGAATACTCAAGCCATATATGTAAGATTTAAAATAACTACTCAGTTAGGTCTGTTACTATTATAAGTTAAATATTTAATTACGGTTGTGTATAAAATTACGGAAAATAAAATTAAATATGTATCAATGTTGTTTTTTTCCTCTTATATAAAAAAAAGGTGTTTCTTTTGTGGGGTGAGAAAACAATCTATCATTTATTCACTTATTACTAGACCTTCGAAACTTTGTGGCGTCAATCAAACAAATAAACAGAACAGTAGTAATCTACAGGGTGTTCAAAAAGTTTGGAACCCCCA